CAATCACAATTCAGTAATTTTGCCCCTTATATGATAATAATAATAATAGTAATAGTATTAATAATGACATTATTCTAGGTCTTGTACTGCACAAGTTTAAAGCATATGAATCTGATCAAATGTGCATTAAATGATATTCTTAGTGTCTGTAAACAAAACAGTGCTAAAAGAACCATACCTCACTCAAATTTTATAAGTTTCTGCTTGGATTTGATAACATCTAATTTTGAAACACGTTTAAAATTGAAGTGTAATCGTTAAAAGAAAAATTACTGTACTAATTGAAAAAGGCAGTCATTAGACGTGAGATAAAATATGATGATCATCTTTTAGTGTGCACTGCTGTAGTTGTATGCATCACTGGGTTGAAAATTCGTCCGTTTAATCGTCTTTATAGGGTTGATGGTAGAAAACGTGACACCTTCTTCACTTAATGTGAGATGGGAACCTGTGCAAATTGTCAAGAGAGGAGAAACAATCGAATATTTACTGCAGAGTCAGTGTGTCGGAAAGGACCCCGATTTTGTACAGGTTAGCAGAAACATACACATTGTCTGATAAATGTTTTCTACCTATCCGATTTAGGTTAGAGAGGCGTAAGATATTTACCAGCGCTTTCCTTATTTTCAGGCGTACATGGGGCCGAACACAAAATTCGAATACACCTCGGTCTCAGGCTCCACCGAGGTTCGATTTCGAGTTTGCGCACTACGTTTAATGAATGCTCCAGACCAGTCCCCAAGTCCCATCAAGGGTGTCTTCTCCGCGGTATCTTCAGCGAGGACCATGACACCGAAGAAGAAAAAGATCTTGGAAAGCAGCGCAGAAAATGATGATCGTAAACCGGAAATCAAAGAGGCTACCAGGGTAGTTCTTACTGATAAGCAATGGGCTATGATTTTCTTTTCGGGATTTTCGTTGCTAGCGGTCGTAGTAATCTTACTGCTGCCTTCTTTGTTTGGAGTATCAGACTAGTTAATTACTTTACCCTCACGATTTCTCTACCCTTTAAAAAAAAAAAAAAGGCCTTAAAATCATTTTGAAGAGTTTAGAAAAACAAACGGGACTACTTGAAAGTACTACTAAGTAACTGTTGTTTAAGGTGGTCTCTCAGTTAGGTTTCATCGCAGACGTAAAAAAGGCGTACGAAGAGGTTTTCCGTCGGAGAAAACAAGACATGGTCAAAGTGCAGCTTCTCACAGCTGTCAGTAAAGTGATTTTAGTTCTATTAGAAACATGTTGTTCACCAGGCCCCGGTTGTTCAAAGGATGGAAACCGCTATCGACTGGAAAAATCTCTTTCCGGTGGACGGCTCAGCATGTTTTGTGAACACTTATTCACTGGATAGCGATTTATCCGTTGGACTGTGTTACCCACCCTTTGAACGACTGGACCCTGATAAATATCGTTTAAAAGGAGCTGTGTGTTAAATTGTTAAAAAGGTTTAACACAGAGGTTGAAGTTAGAATGTCCAGTAACGGAGTGATGAACTTTATATAGAGGTCAAGCCTTTGTTTCTGGAGTAGAACTTTACTGAAATGGTTACGCATGACCCTTAGGTTTGAATCTCCAAGCAGTCTTAAAATTACTGGAAATGATTTGAATTTTAACTGTTGGAAGTGAGATGGACCAACATGCAATATTTTGTGTGCTTTTCAATCTTAAATTTTAACTCGTTTGACTATTAGCGTATTAAGTTATAGTTATTTTCCGACAGCTAACGTGCAGTGTGCTGAAGGGAAACTAGGTAGCCTCAAGAGGTATTTTAAGTATATCCCAAAATATTACTATATATGAGAAAACTGAAAACTGGAAATTAAGCTATTAATTAGTAATTTACTGGGAAGGCTCCTATCCGTTTATGTAGCGAGGGGATACTATCGCGCAGTGTAACGCAAAACGTTATCCCACTGTGGACTAAACCGTGCGTGAACATGCTAACCGTGACCGTACGAGATCCACAGAATCGAGGCAGCCAGAGAGCCATGAAACGGAGCCACGTAAATGTAGTATGAATGAATGTTAATGAATTAGGTTATCTCCAGAAATGTTAATGACCAAGTATGTCTTTAAACAAAAATGCACTTAATCTACAAAGACAAATGGTGTTAATTTTCGTAAGGAGTCGTATGTTTCGATATCTTTCGTGAGGAATGATATTTGTTTGCAGGCAACCCGGCCACTATAAAACAAGGAAATACACAGAGAGGAAAATTGGATAATTCGATTCTGACATTTTCAACGTTTTCAACATTCGTCGTAATTTCTTTGTTTGTTTTGGATTTGTAGAAAATTATTAGTAACACTTGTTCTTGAAAATACTGAAATGTGTGGGATTTGTGATAGGAAAAAAGAATGCTTTTGCTCCCAGGAAACGTGCATCAGTCTTGAAATTGTGCTTTTTCAGAATTCTTATAGTCGTGATATGCCCTGTTAGTGTTACTAGCTTTGTCATCCACATTCTTTTTCCTGCTGCGCTGAATGTTATGTGCCAAGCTTAAAATAAATGTTATCTTTTGAAATGCCATGTGGACAGTTAACTCGGCTGTGAAAACTGGAAGCATTACAGGTGTACCTGTACAGAAGAGAGACAAGCGAAGTTGTTAAACCTGAAGTACCGGCACTCATAGGTTCTCACCCCACCGAAAAATTTGAGCTCACTAAATGTCAAGCATGTTTTCTTTCCTTATGTGACTTTGATGTTATCAATTGATAATTCTGAAGTCGTTGTGGAATGATTTATTCTTAAATGCGCGACGTATTGCAGTTAAGCTTGCTCTGAGGACGGGTCTCGGCAACATTTCGAAGCTTTATGAATATTTCTTAAAGATAAAATAAGTTGGCAATTCACCATTTTGTGAAGTTTTGGCAAGTATCAGTTGATAAGGCCATCACTATCAGTGTCCACGGTCCAGGACTTTTTCTCTCCCAGTTTAGTCCGTTTCTTCATTGTCTTCAATGTCTGCTGCTGATTTATAAGTGAAAGTTATCTGGAATTTTTCTTAATGATTACCGTAAAGATAAGGTGAATGTATAGGAGCGTAAAATAAAAGCCAAAGTAATCAAAACGACCATTCGGAACAGCGACATGACGAGAGACCAACCAGAACGGCGGGAAAACGCGAGTGACCAAGTCACGTGTGGTTTTAGCTTTCCATCTCATTGGTTGCGAGGATGGCGCGAGTTTTCCAGACCCAAGGGAAACGTAATACAAAAGCAATGCTACCGTAGATTACTTTCGGCACTTGATTGAGGTTTACCTTATTTACTTAAAAAAGTTAGCCATAGTGGTGCTCACGCATAGATTTAATTCTAATTTAGTTTAAAACAAAGTGAAAGATGTTGGTGATCGGACTCGTTGAATGGCTCTACCCACAGAGCGTCAAAGATTATTGAAAGTGCAGTGCGAAGAAGAGATATATTTATTTTTAGAGATTAACAACCTTGTAAGATAATTGATAGTTAAATTGTACAGAGATTCTTGACCTATTTATCGTTATACCTGCACTTTGATCTGTGTCAGTAGTGTTCTGCAGAAATAAACTGGTTCTGTTGCGATGAAATGAATTGATGTCTTAAGTATTTGCTAGGAGTTGGATTTGGGCCCCTTCAAATCAGCCTTTGAACCAAGCTGGGCCGATTACTAGGACGCATTTTGTCTTCTGTTCGAATGGGAAGTATCACCTTATTTATCGAGCGGGGTTTCTACGGGTCCTGAAATTTCATTTTGACATTTTCCAGGACTGGAAAGTGCTGGAAAAAGACTACAGGTCCTTGAAAGTCCTGGAAATCTACTTCACTCAAGCAATAAAGTTTTCATAATTTACGTGTTAAAAAGTGTGCAGACCGTGAGGAGAATCGATTTTGAATTCTTGCGAATGAAAGGGTTTATGATGACATTTGGAGTCTTGAAGAAGAAAAAAAAAAACAAACAATCTGAATCCTGGAAAAGTTTCCGAGGTTTGTTTCCAAGAAAGAGTACGAATCTTGTCGAGAGAAACGATCACTCCCGCTTGGTTATAGGGATAGTCAAGTGAACCGACTGTTCTTGTGAGACAATGGAACAACTAGAGTCCTCTTATAAACGTGTCGAAATTTATAACCTTTTCTCAACCGCATCCCGGTTAGCTCAATGGATAGAGCGCCGGACAGTTGTGCGGGAGGTCGAGGGTTCGAGCCCCGGCCGGACCAACACTCAAGGTCTTAAAAAAAACGAGGAGAATATGCTACCTTTCTATAACATCAAGAAATGGTTAGATATTCTAGTCGTCTCGGATAAGGACGAATAAATGGAGGTCCCGTCTCCTGCAGGGTCAGGGGGTAGGAGACGTTAATTTCCCACGCACGAGATTACTGTGTGATGGATGTCCTCCCCTGGGTGAGATGGGCGGGGTTCGAAGGCCGTAAGTTAGTTTAGTTCATTTGGGTTAATTACGTCACCTTCGTTAAATAAAGAATATTGTATTGCATTGTATTGGATTCTCCTTACCGCTTACCATGGGATTGTTATGCTGTAAGTTCTGAGAATCTGGTGTTGGATCACGTAACATCCCCTTGTTGATATAATTGTTTTTATTCTCATTGGCCTGTCTGCTTGATATTGGTTCGATATTTTAAGGAGAAATTAATGCTAGGTTTATGCTGGGAGTGAAGGGGTTTAAAAAGAGCAAAGAGTAGTTAGGCGAAATCGCAGAAACAGAGCAAGCCCATTTGGTGGAGGATGTCTTTGATCTTATGAAACTGAGTAAATGATGCAAATTGACCATCATAAAGCCTTTCTAAAGCTGAGGGTTCGAGCGCTAGCCCTTCGCCAAAGCGAAGGACTGAACGGTCTTGCGTTGACAAGCCGAAAATCACAGAAAAAATTTAGCATGTGAAGTTTAAGTTTAAATCATATGCAGATTCATTTGTCGAAGCTTTACTCTTATGAGTATTTGCCACGCCATTCAGTTAGACAACAAACCTTTCTCAAATTAATTTCAAGGCACGAAATGGAATAAGAACCATGGCTTGCGAAAATTGACGTGTGGAACTTCCTTTGAACGACAATCCCTCATTGAATCCACCCCTCCATCATTCCTTTTATCCTTTTTATTAATGCTAATTAGATGATCAACGCGAGCCATAAGATCAGCAAACGGTGACAACGTTCTTTAATCGAGATAAGACATTTATTCCTCGTATTCGCTCATGCGCAGATTCATTAACTTAAATACTGCTCAACAAGAAATCATTGGGGCAAACGCTTGGCGTTCATATTCATACTCTGCCGTTGTCGTCACTCGGCTGCCATTCGCTCAGTGGCAAGGATTGAACTAGGGACTCTGTGAGCAAAATATCAAAAAAAAGTCCGCTTTAATAGACACATTTGTGAACTGACAATTAATAGAACCCTGCCACAGGACCATATGGATAGAGAAAAAGGTCATAGAGACGACAGTGGTTAAATTTTACAATTTTAGGTTACTAGCGTTTGCATACATTTTACGACAATCCAGCGGATTTTTCCTTCCGCTTTTTGTCTAAAATTATCTTTAAATATGCTGTAATGGTGAAATCGTGCACTTTATAATTGGTATACGCGGCTACCACGGAACTGTTTTGCAAAGGCTGCCTCTCACAGCTTAGCTAGTCGCCACGCAAGGCACTTCTTTTCCGCGTAGGGCCGTGACATGACCGTTTAAATAAAGCATGTGTAAGACTGTCGACGGATTGAAACTGACCAATGCTACTTGAGTTCAACAGCCAATAGCATTATAGCAAAACTGATCAATCACTTCACAAGAACGAGACTCGAATGACAAATAACTGATAATGACTCTCGCTGAGGTCGTCGAAACGTCAGTTACCACTGCCCAGAACAGTCGTTCCCAGGACTGCTATAACCCGCTCGATCAGACTACTCGAGCGACTCTCTCAAAAATCTTACCTTATCTTCATCATCGATAAATTCGTACACAAAATTGGTCTGCGATCCGCCCACGCCTTTCCAACAGTTTGGAGACGCACCGTACTCGCTATAACTCTTTTCCGCATCTACTCCTGTCCAGCATTCCCCGTAGAACTGTATTGCGAACACCTGACAATAGAAATAATTGAGTAAAAAATCGGTTGTAAACTGCTACCCCTAAAGCTTAGCTTAACTGAACTGGGTCTTGGCATACAAGTAGATTAGGCCCTCTCTAGCTTGGGCGCGGGGTAGGTACCTTGAGAGTAGAGTTTTTTTTCGTTACACTGTGAGCGCATTCTTTGACGGTGTTTTCCAAGTGAATCCAGTCAATTTTTCCACGCATACTTTTTACAAAATCCGGAACAGCGCGGAATTTCTTTGTGTCCTTGAAGCATCCTAAGGGAATGAACCGTTTGCCATCCGGGCTAAGAATGGAGCCTGTATCGTAATAAAGGTATAATATATGATTATCAATTACAGAATGGTTTAGTTAATTAAGGAGAGACTTATCGTGCCACAAGAATGGAGAATATGGCGGAAAAAAAGAAGGTATCTTGAAGCCATAGAGCGAGGGCTTATATGTCAAGGATACTGACAGTCTATACTTTTCCTTTAGCAAAGGAAATGTGCCACCATTCAGCCAAGACAACTGTTGGCGGCTGTTTGCTGACTACTCCCCTCTTAAGTAAAATGTTTTGGGTAGAATGGGCAACCGTAACCACTGTCGATGCCTTGGAAGGAAATCTGTCTTGGGTGCTCTTGAAAAGTTTGTTATGTGTTGAATGAGGTTCCATCCGCACTGAAGTGTCACCGTATACTATAACTGTGTTTACTTATCTACTCACTTGGGCATTCAATATCCGTATTACATTTTTCCTTAGTGGTGGGTTTCACGGCGTGGACGCACTGGTGGTCCGACAAAGATACCAGCATTCCATGCGCGTTCAGTTTCATGCACTTGAGACTGCGAGTCATTGTGCCTCCTCCACATGATCGTGTGCACTAAGAACGACAGAAAAAAATATATTTGTTTACTTTACCCTGACTCGTTAGTTGTTGTTTTCTTTGTCTGTTTGTAGAAATCTATTGGATATTCGCTTTTGAGGAAGTCACTGTGAAAAAAAATGTCCTTCGAAGTGTGGTAAACCCAAATTTCGAACAGCGATGTACTTCAAAGTCATGTGATGACCTCTGACTGTGTTTACCTCACTCCATGCTAAATGTTTCCATTCAGCCGGACAAGCGATCCTGTTGCATTCTTGCTGAAGGTTTGTGACTGGTTTTTTCTCAGTACACGAGGATTCGTCAACAGTCTCGTAATGGTCCTGACTTATCTTTCGTCTGCAGACAATCGTTCTTAGTTGAATCCCCTTACCACAGGTTTTTGAACATGGCCGCCAACCTGACAGGTACCATCTATGAAAAAATCAGAAGACGACAATTCTTAATTAATTATGAAACGCAATCTAGGATAGGAAACAGGTTTATCCGGAATTGTTTCGGATTTATAAGTTAGTGCCATTGTTTTCATACTCACTCTGGCTGACACGGTTGTGTATTACAAGCCTGCTGCACCGCTGCTTTGGCTCCAGACCTGAGGCAGACCTTGTCATTGACGTAGCTGCCGTCATCTTCACGGACGCATTCAACAAGTCTTGTCCGATATCCTGATGATAAAACACAATTAATCTTGTTTTGCCTGCTCATCTTATCATATCTGTCGTTAAAGCCAATTGTCCCTTTGATTTCCGAGTCACTTACAACTTCCTTATCGAAGGAAAGCCTTAGTTACGACTTTTAATTGGAAAATTACTTCAGAGTGAAATGTCATCATACAAGAGATTGTATTCTCTTGCATCACACAAGCAAGGAAAAATCATGACCAACGCCCATTTAGGAAACTAAGCTCCTTTATCTCAAATGTGACATTCTGAGCCTTTCTACGACTGTCAACGACTTTTCGTTTCATTCTCTAAATTAGGCGAGATAAAACTATCATATTTCACTTTTTACACTTCTCAGCTCTTCAGTTCTCTTTTTGTTCGTATATCTTTTAATCCCGACTTCAGTTCTCTTCTGAAGTTTGAAACCTCAGGTTTTTACAGGCTCCTCCTTTATTTTTTCAACAGCTACCGTTTTTTTCCTTATAAATTAAGTCTTACATACTGAAAGACACATTAGCACTGCTTACTCGTTTGTCCCAATGTACAGAGCAGATTAAATCGCATTACCTCCAGCGCAGTCTTGAGTGCATACGCCCCAGCCTTCAATCTTCCATTTTACCTGGTCAGTGGTTACTTCACTCTTTTGGGGCGATAAAAAGTGGTATTCCACCCCTGGATTTGCTCCACTAATATAAACGTACTAGAAGAGAGGAACAAAAAAACAAAACAAAACAAAACAATCATAAAAAAAAAATAAATTAACTCACAGGTTTGATGTGTAAGAAAGAGAACTGAAGTGACAAGAAATTTGTTTCTTCCACTTCCGTTGCTTCTGACGTCACCTTTCGTTACTTCAGGGTCAGATTAATATACAACAAAATTCGTCAGCAGATTGCAACAACTTATCCTGATAGATTCAACTTTTCGTGCTGATGTACTTGAATGCTCTGGTGCAGAACAATCGAGATTGTAGCTCTTGCACCTGCTTACTTACCTGGGTTCGAAATAAATATAACAAACTAAAGACAGGAAGGGTATGCCTACGTTTTCGAAATCCAGAGACCTTGGCGACTCTTCAAAAAATTTGACTCCCGGACGTGATAAAGATGTAATTTCTCCTTTCAATATCAGTTCTAACACATCCGACGCGCTATCCCTAGATGCAGCAAACTGGTATGGAAAATAAGCCAAGGTATTTATCAGAGTTTCATCATCTTGATTAAAAAAATCACCTTGGCAACATTCTCTCGAAGAATATGAGGCACCTTGAAGGGATAATCTCAAATGATATTCTAGGGGTTTAAGAGATGTAGTCTGATGATGCGTGAAAGTTTCGAACTTCTGTAGAAACTGATAACGGAGCTCCTGAGCACAACGCGCAAGCGGGGACACATACTTAAAAAGTATGTCAACTTATCAATTTCGGAACAGATCGTCTTTACGTGACCAATTGTCACTGTCATTACATGAAGGTGTATTGCGCTTGCGCAACAAGCTTCATCGCGGGCGCAATTAAGTGCAGATTGTATGTCGACAGGTTGATCTGTGAGCTAGAGCTTCGCTATTGGGCCTAGCTAGATCACGAGTGCTAACCATGAGTTTCAATGGTTCTTTCGTCGGTCCTGGGATATCAACTTTGTCCTTCCACACGTTGGCCTCGTGATCGTAGGCGACTTTTGTTCCAGCTGCTTTCACTACGGTGCTCCATGTATACGCCACTCTGTAAACCCACTTTCCATCAGCTGCTCTCTGAACCCCTGGAAATAATAGATGTTTTGCAATAATCGAGGGGAACAACACAAAATGTTTCTTTAAAGCAGGATATTAAGTTACTTTGGTCACTTCAATCACAATATATATATAGATAGATATAGCTCTTTGGCATACAAAGCTTTGCTTTCATGTCCAAATTGAGCACTCTAACTAGGATGAGTCATTGCTCTGCAATTGCGCATGCTCGCTAGTGTACTCTAGTTTGAGCACTCTGGCATGGCTTAGACGATACCACAAAGGTTGGATCGTTTGGGGTGACCATATTGGTTCTCCTCCATCCTAGCATTAGCACTGCACTGATGAGGCCCAGAAGGCCGAAACAGTACTGTCTGCAGTTAGATATAGCTCTTTGGCATACAAAGCTTTGCTTTCATGTCCAAATTGAGCACTCTAACTAGGATGAGTCATTGCTCTGCAATTGCGCATGCTCGCTAGTGTACTCTAGTTTGAGCACTCTGGCATGGCTTAGACGATACCACAAAGGTTGGATCGTTTGGGGTGACCATATTGGTTCTCCTCCATCCTAGCATTAGCACTGCACTGATGAGGCCCAGAAGGCCGAAACAGTACTGTCTGCAGTTAGTTATATATATATATATATATAG